GCTCTGACATAGAAATAAAAGTACCAGAGAGAGGTGTGCTCAACACTATGTGATTTTTTTCATTCCATGACGTATTTCTGTGCAGCAAGGGGCTGTAGGGTGATCTGTGGTAGCAGTACTTTCCACCCATGACACATGAGTATAGTACTAGTACAGAAAATTTGAATTTCATTAATCCCTTTAATGTCCTATACAATCAAATTAATTTCACAATCACTTCCACAAACATAATAAACTTTGTTCTGGAGTTGTTCTGATTCCAAAACTTGCACAGTAGAGTAAAGCTGATTTTGTCTCTTGCTGTTGTTGAGAAGTGGTTCAGTATAGAAATATGAGAACAGGGACTAAAGCCCAGGTATTTCTTCTTTCAGATGACTGTCATAACCATCATACTAACAAGAGTCTGTTTGCCTCCTACTGAGCAGATCTAGCTGTAGATTTGGATAATAGTGCACTTAAGAATAGTCTATAATACTTTATTCATTCCTTGCCTCCTGAATAAAATAAAATAAAAATGATTCCCCTTGAAAAACAAAAACACCAAATATATTCGAGATTACAAAAAACCTGAGAGAAAAGTCATCATGCTATTATCCAAAAACAACTGCATGGGTGAAACGCAGGTCTGATTTTCCTCATTTTTGAGTGCATATTTTATAATAGCTGCTTCCACTTGAGACTCAAACAGCAGCGCAGTTTTGAATCTCCTGATTTTCAATCTCCTTTAACATCTTTTCACCAGTAAAGTTTATTTTTTAAATAGCTTTCAATTTTCCTGTACATTTCATGGATATGATTTTTTGAGCCAATTGTGGACTTCTTATCCTTGGCAGTTTATTCAATGTGCTCCATTTGGGAGATCAAAACTTGTTTCGTGAAACTGATCAGAATCTCTTTCTTATCACATATCAGTGACATAAAGCTGTGTTTTAGAGTTTCATGTTGACTTAATCTCCTGTGTTCACAGTGGTTTCTAGTTGTGATGATCTGCTGCAAGGAATGACTGAAGGTTCATTGCAAACATTTATGTGGCATAGCATTTTTTCCACTAAATATTACTTGAAGTTTAAAGTAGCTCGTCCCAGAAGTCCCTGTTAATATCTAAATACTTCAGGGGTACAAGGTCCTGAAGATGTCTGTACATTCAGGTTCTTGCCCTCCAGCTCCAAATCTGCAATTTTTCAGCTGTCTTCTTGCTCTTAAGTGAGATGTAAGTAGCTCAGATAGGTGCAAGTCTCTAGTTCACATACTGACAGCTCATATATCAGCTTCGGATACTGTTGTCTGTTACACGGCAACAACATTTTGTAGCACTATCTGATTTGAACTAATGTGGCTATTTAGAAAGGTTGTCTTTCTGTCTGTCTTTTCAGTCGTATTTGACTAGTGAGCACCAAAAGCCAGGATTTCTTTTTTTCTGGCAGCGTGTGTCACACTACCTGTCCCATATTGCCACTCTTGTGATTTGTTGTTCTTAAGTGGAAGTGCATGGATATCAGAGTAAGTGAGCAACTGGCAGGACCTTGCCTTTGAGAAAGAGCTTGCTTTGAAATGTGATCCTTCCCTCAATCTGAAATCATCTTAATTTTTTGTTCGCATGGACATTCATTCTACTTGCTTTATTGTTCTCAATCTTAAGGAAATGGGAAAGACATAGGGACAATTGTAAGTGTATTTTTTTTTTCTGTATCAGGTGTTTAATGGCTATGAAGTACATTATTTTGTTCATTTCAAAGCTTTACTTTCATGTAATTGTCCCAGACCATCTAAAATTGTACTAATACACAGTAGATGTATAAGCTTTTAAGTTAGAAAAAGCACCTCTACTATATAGCTTTTAAGTATATTTATTCAAGATTATTTAGGAATCAAGTAATAAATCCATCTAAGCTTCCATTAAATACATTAATTCATGTTATGTAAATATCATTATAGTATTTGAGGTAAATATGGCAAATTCTTTAATTTGAATTAGTTTCTAAAAGTACTGTTTTCACAATCATGTAGATTTAACATCTGACACTTAACTTCTGTGAACCCTAGCTATCACTTCTCTGTGTCCTAGCAAGCAGGGACCAGGTCTAGTTGTGAGAAAGTACTTCAGTTTCCATATCTGTTCTGTCCTCAGCATCTCTGCTAAAAATTGTGAATAAATATAGTGATGTTTCTGTGATTCCTTAATGGTGGATTTTGTTTCCTTTTCAAAGCAGTACAAGCAAAACAAAATGTAGCAAAGAAAACAGGACAAGTCTAAAATGAGACTTGCTAAATATAATGTAATAGGATTCAAAATTATTTACAAGTTATTTGTGCTGGACAAAAGTTTCCAATTGTCTTCTTATAGCAAGCAATGGCAAGTAATCTGGAGCATGTGGAATGTTTTTATCCTGTCTTCAGTTAAATCATTTTCATATGCTATTATGTTACGTACAAAAGACCATTAACATTTTTCACATTATAATTTTGTATGGAAAATATCAGCCCAAACTGAATTACTGGATTTAGATCTTCACAGTAGTTTAGCTGTTAATGAAGAACCTATAGTAATGTTTTTAGAAAGTGTAAATTTGAGACATTATTTCCGTAGAGGTAACAATAGTCTTAGTGTGAATAATATTCACATTTTTGAGGATGTTTGTATGTGATATATATGAGCCAGGAATGTGCCCTTGTGGCCAAGAAGGCCAATAGTCTCCTAGGGTGCATTAAAAAGAGCATGATCAGGGGGTCAAGGAAAGTCATCTTCCCCATCTACTCTGCTCTGGTGAGGCAACATCTAGAGTATTTCGTCCAGTTCTGGGCTTTCCAGTTCTAGAAGGATGAGGAACTGCAAGAGAGAGTCCAGAAGAGGGCTATGAAAATGATCAAGGGACTGGGGCACCTCTCTTATGAGGAAAGGCTGGGAGACCTGGGTCTGTTTAGCCTGGAAAAGAGAAGACTGAGAGGGGACCTCATCAATGCTTATAAATATCCAAAGGGTGGGTGTCAAGAGGATGGGGTCAGGCTCTTCTCAGTGATGCCCGGCAACAGGACAAGAGGCAATGGGCACAAACTGAAACACAGGAAATATTACATCTCAACATGAGGAAAAACTTCTTTATTTTGAGGGTGCCAGAGCACTAGAACAGGCTGCCCAGAAATGTTGTGGAGTCTCGTTCTCTGGAGATAAACAAAACCTGCCTGGATGCGTTCCTGTCCAGCCTGATCTAGGTGAACTTGCTTTGGTAGGGAGGTTGGACTAGATAATCTCTGAAGGTCCCTTCCAACCCCTACCGTTCTGGGATTCTGTTTAATAAGGATGTTACTCAGAAATTGTGATAAAACATAAGGTACTATATCTGTGACGCTGTCTTGTGAGTCAAGAAAAAATTCCTAAATTGACTAAATAGCAAAGTTGTCCTTTCCCACTCTACTTTTGGGCCGAAGAGGTCTGCTGGGGTTCTCTGCCAGATCTCCACACTTGCAGTCTGAATTTAGGAATCTTTTATATAGTAAGCTGTAATTCCTGTTCCAGCTAATTTAAGTAGAAACCGTTGAGAAAACAATGTGGGTCCTTTGCAGGGTCAAAAAGGGGGAATGATGGAGGAGACTGATTTTATCTTTCACTTTTACTCCCTACTGGTCTGGTTCTGCTGGAAATGATTAGAGCTAAGTTCTTTACAATCTAAAAGCTCCATAGCAAAAAATCATAGTAATACTATGTTACTAAAATCTCTCAGCATTATGTTACTAAAAGAACAATGTATGTTGGAGAAACGCTGTATTAAATCCTGTCAGAGGTTATCACAATTTCTTACTGACACTGTAGTGTGATTCCATGTTACATTATGACAACTTCATTTCCTGGAATCAAGACAGCTTTGACATCCACTTGTAACCAGGAAGAATATCTAGAGATAAAATAAAATACCAGTGATTTTTTTAATACTAGAAAGTGCTGCCTGTGATGATAACTAAATAGTAATTAGTCATCTCCATTAATATTTTTGATCCACTGAAGTGAGCTATTACAGATTTTAGAAGTACTTCATTTATACCTGGATCCTGCTGTAACTGAAAACCTAAGCAGAGCTGCTATTTTTTGGCAGTTGGGTATACGATATATGTGCACTGCAAACATAATGATGAACAATAACCCTTGTTACTGCCACTAAGTGGGGAACACTCCAATGCAAGAAGAAATTGAGCACAGCAGAATACATCTTTTCTTTCTTTTTCCTAACACAGAAATAAACTGCTGCTTTGTAGGACACCTGTTTTTACCTGGTCATCTTAATACAGCTAAACAACCTAGTATTTAATATTAGTCACAGAGCAATCAGTGATCTGTAAGCCACACCACACACTGTTATGCTAATGTGAATAAGATTTTTGGAAAAATGTTACTGCATCCAATTCCTTAGTAAAAGTAAAGTCATTCCAAATGGAATTGTGGAGTATTGAAGATGAATGCAATGGCATGAATCATTTATTCAGCCTCTTGCTGCTGCATTTATATGTTTTGTTATCTGTATAATCAATTAAAAAAAAAAAACTACTCTCATCTGAATTATGTGAGAGAATTATGCTGAAATGATTCACAACTTTGTATGTAAACCTCATAGCTTAATATGTAGGCTGCCTAGTCTGATTACAAAATATTAATCTGGGATATTGCTTTAATTGAATTAGAATAATTATATACATTTCTTGAAGAGGAATGTCATAGTTGCATGGTAATGCTAAAATAGGATTTGGCTGTTTTAAGGTAATCTGAACTGACTCTGCCTACTCTCTGTTAATACTAAGGAAGAAGAAAGATTTGTTATAAGAAAGTATTGTGTGTTAATATTTTTTTTGTTGTTTTTAATAAAATTTTTGTGTATCACTTGCAACTTACTGAGAAGGGAGAAAAATTCAGGAAACTATGAATGTTTACAGTAAACTGTCCTGCTAGCAGCTCGGGTTCTTGTTTGGATAATTTTCTTTTCTTTTCTTTTGACTCCTCTGTTTTCTTTAAGGCCTTATTCGATTACAAGAGCTCATCAAGGCTCCATCACGATACAACCTGAGACTAAAAATCCGTCAGTTACCAGCTGACACAAAAGATGCAAAGCCATTGCTAAAGGAGATGAAAAGAGGCAAAGAATTCCATGTAATCTTTGACTGCAGCCATGAAATGGCAGCAGGCATCTTGAAACAGGTAATCATCATTTTGCTTTAGATGGCCTAATCTTTTTCATCCCTAATAAATAAAAGCAATATCCAGACTTAATGGCATTTAACAAGCGGGGGAATTGTATGTCAGTTTTACTGAGGCCTAACTGAAAATCAGCCAAGGACTTTGGAGATAATATTATCGGTGACTCTAAGAGTAACTGCTTTCATTATGTTTTTTTCTAAAGAAACAGATTCATTGGTTCATGTATAGGATGAAAAAGCTCACTGTAACCCTAACTATGCATGAAAGACATGCCTTTGTGTGTCTCCATTAGTTTAATGAGCTAGCTCCAAAGACTGGGAATTCCTTATGCTCAGAGGCCATTTCTCCCATAGTTTTTTAACTGAACTGTGACTCGCAAGAAGGATAGGAAAAATACCTAAAGCAAAACAATATCCTATATTTCTAATGCACAGCTTTTAGTGACTGGAATTCATGTTTATATTATGCTTGCTAGCAGACTTTATAGTTTAAATTGAAAACAAAATGTATTTAAGATTTGAAAATATGTCTCTTATTAAAGGCACTCAGGAGTATTGTTGCGGGTACAATTAAAATTGCTTGTAAACATATATGTATACTATCATTTCTTTGCTTTATTGTTCATTGATTAAAAGGCTTTTATTAATTCCTAGTAATTTTAAACCTCTGCTGGTGGTTTTTTGCTTTTTGCTAAACATAACCCGGCCTGGTTAGTCTAATTGTGTACCCCAAATCATCAAACATACATTTAATTATTTAACATCTTAAAAATGCAGATGGAAAATGTGTTGATGACAATACAAAGCTGCAGTACTAACAATAACTCCATAAGGTATATTATTTATATTGTACCTAGTAGTTTTCAGGTGAAAGAGAACTTTTCTTTCACAGTAAACAACATTGCATAAACCATATGACTCCAGGGAAATGGGAATAAAAATCAAAAGCATTATATCTTTATTCATGTCCTAGGACCCAAGAGTGAGGGTTCAACCTCTTTAAATCAAATTATAAACTTTTTAATCAAACTACTCTGCTCATCCTAAAGATTATAGAAGGAAGATACAGGAACAACTCTTCCATGAGTGTTTAGATATTCATACGGTGTCTACAGACTTTTAGTTTTCCGTTTAGCTCCAATATTGCAGTGCTTTAATTATGTCTAAAATTGGTAGTTCTTCAGCTGAATATGAGCTCTTGCTGTTAAAATTGACACAGATATATTAAGACTGTATTTATTATTTAGTGATATCATTCCAAATATAGTGTTTATAAGTGTTTTCTGAAAAAGAAAGATATTTATATATTAATTTGTGAACTAATTTTTAAGCTAATTTTTAAAAAATTAACTTTTTTTTCTGGTAATAAGGGATGAACTTGGGGAGACATAACAGGTTTCTTGGGAGAATGATTGGAAAGATTAACAATGAAGTTGCTGGAAAAGAAAACAAGTTTGAAATAAAGGGAAAAAAAAGAAGTACCTTGAGAGGCCAGTGAAATGGCAACAACAGTTTTCTGGCTAAAAGTATATCATGGAAAGGAGAAAAAACATCCCTTCTTTCAGACAAGCGTAGTTAAATTAAGGCAAATCTCAGTGGTAACTACAGCACCAGGCAAGGAAAAAGCAGACATGATTTAAAAGGTTAGGAAAGCACTGGAATAATGAGAGCAGAGAAATGACATTGTTTTGAAGAGGGAAAAGGAGTGAGGTCTTTTGAGAAGTGAGGAAAGTGAGAGAAAGAAGACCTGGAAAAGGAACAACACCAGCACATGGCAGAATTGGGAACATGTGTGGGATGTTCTTGTGTAGAGATTCTGTGGAGTATGAAAGACCTGATTGTAAGCAGTTAAAATTTAGGTGAGTGCAAGTTTGTTACATACACAGAGGAAGATACCTTGGCTTTATTTAAACAACAACAAAAAAAGTATTTTAAAAAGCTAACTGTGTTTGTGGTTGTACAGTTTCTAATGAAATTGTAATATTTCTCATGAGATAATGGTTTTCCTATGTTTATGAGAATTTAAATTAGTTATTGGCACACTACGCTGTAGTTACAAATATTATTGTGGAATTCTAAATATACAATAGTCATCTTTTGGAAAAGTGTTGTTGCAATTTTTGTCAGTCTCATCTAAAATATTATAAAATCTGATCTGCAGCTGACATTTCAAATTCATTTTAGTTAACTTTTTGTTGAAAAAGAACATACAGACTAGTCATTTCATCATTTTTCAGACAACGTCACAAGTAAAAAGACTCCCTTAGCCTTCAGAACTCTGGTAAATTTAAAAAAAAAAAAAAATTCTGGTATTATTACAATTACCCTCAGCGTGTTAGAGGAGGTGTAACTGGTAGCAACTTCACAAAGAATTCCTTTGATAGTTCCTGGAAAGAAAGAAAACATTGCTTACTTCTTTAGCTTTTTTATAGTGCTAAAATTAGGTAAAAATCACTATAAACACTCAAATGATTGAATAAATCATATTAATCTAAGACAACTTTTGTGCAGACCATGAAGATACAGGTGAAAATGCCCTTCATGAATAAGAGTGACGATACATCCATAGTTCATGGCTTTTAATTTGTATGTAGAAATATTTGTTCTTATGCTGTTAAGAGAAAAGTATGAACATTTTAAAATGCACAGTTAATAAAAAAAACTATTAGTATTACATATTTAGCAAGACAGGTGAAGGTACTTGGTAGATACCTGAGTTTTTAGATTCATATTATGTATATTTGTTCTTGATTTTTACTGAAATAGTATGTATTTTGCTATTCAAAACTTGGCTTAAGTAGTTTCTTCCATGGTCAGAAAAATGTACACACATATAATATAAGCTTGTTTCCTTCTTTTAACTGCACAGTATTGTTCATCAAAATAGAAAAAAATATTTCCTTATAGGTTATTCTTTTTAAGGGAAGGGTTCAATAATGAATGAAAATATTTTCAACTCAAATTTTGTGTGGCGACTTAATGCATCCATTAGTATGTAAAACTATAAGCCTCTTTCACATTTACTGCACTAAACAGTATAATAATATTCTTTATATCAGAAGATCTGCTTCATAAATTCCTTTAATAGTCAGTAATCTGCTCTAACTGCTAGGAAATGACTTGCTTGACCTAATTTTAGTATAATTCCAACCCCATAGTCTGATCCCAGTAGTGTTCTTTTGCAGTTTTTTATTTGCCGTGTAAGTGTGATAAAAATGTATTATGTGACCTCAGAAACATTAATCTTTTGTTTATTTTTTTAAGGCTTTAGCTATGGGAATGATGACAGAATACTATCACTATATCTTTACCACACTGGTAAGTGGCTTATAAAAAGATGCTGATGACATCTAACAAAGATGTTACTTTCCTTAATTATATTACTTGACAAAGTGAAAAAGGTCTCCCTGGAATGGAGTGTGAGTAAACTCTGTTGAGTTTTCTTACTTTCACTGAAAATGTATCAAGATGGTTTAATTATTGTTTAACAGTGTGCCTTGGAAACTGATAGACCCAAAATAGCAACTGACTCTATAGTAGTGCAGTTTTTAACTTTCAAGCAGGGTTAAGCATCTAATTCATAATTTATTTATTCATATTCAGAATTTTGTCCTTTTTCTCTTTTAGCTTTTTGTATGTAAAGATTATGATATTTTAAATTTACTCATATATTCCTTATTTTTAATCCAACATTTTACAGGGTAATTCTTCACTGTCATATGATTCCTGAATAATTTGGTGTGATTATTAGCAGCATTTTATTTAACAGTCAGCATGAGCTTTTTAGGCACATGAATTATGCAATATTCTTTGGTGCCAGTGTAAAAGTAACTAAGAGGGAATTTGATCATTCTTGGAACCTTCAGATTTAACATTTGCAATAAACGAACATTTAAAAATGTTCAGATGCTCTTACAAAACATAAAAAAACATGCATGTGAAGAAACAGTTTAGAAGTTGGTAAAACAGTACTTTAGAAACTACAGTTATGCACTTTTCTTGGTTTTCCATTGTGCTCAAATTTGCCTGCTTAGGTTGCAGTTCATTAACATTCTTAAAATACAAGTCATTTCAAGCATAAAACAGGTGTGCCTTGGTAAAACCATGCTTGAAATAACCTGTGTTTAAAGTCGCATGCATGTTTCAGTCCTTATGGAAATGAATCCTTTGGGGTAGGTTGGGAAGTTCACCTCAGAATCACAAAGCAGAAGTTCATGGAAGGTATTAGCATGGAAATAGCTTGTTGAATAGACAGCAAAATAATTTTTTGAGTTCATTAGAATTGTAAAAGCAAAATGCCCTGCACAAGTACCTGTCCTTTTTAAGAAGGGTAAGTTTTTCTATCACAGATTTAGGGTTGCATGCAATAGAATTTCCCTTGCTAGTCTTATCAAAATGGATTCTAGATGTTTCATAGAATTTTTTATTTTTTAAATTTTCATTTTACTAATGGTCAAAATTTCTTCTTTGAGTGGTATGCTGTCCATTGGCATTTAACTTTTATTCTTAAAACTATGTTTTACAATCAGAATTTTCTGTCATTCTTATTTCCTTATTAGAACATTAGCTTTTTTAGGAGAGAAATATTCTATTGACTTGGAGCTATCAAAGAATAATTTAGTATGGACAAGCAGATGATAAATTTTGATTTTGCAGTGTAGCTTTGGAACTTGCATCAGAATTTAGTTGTTTTGATATATTAATTGCTTCTTACCTGACATGGGGAAAGTCCTGTCAAATAAATTTTCCAGTCACAGTGTTTACAGCAGTCTTCTGTGTATTCTCCTCTTGATTGATTCAGGGTTTAATGCAGTAGCTCATTAATACTCTGACCTGTGTGTATTTATAATATACGCATAATATTGTTGTGTATAGTTATTATATTCCAGTGTAAACATGAATGTGTTTGGATTAAATAATTACATCTGAGGTTCTGACTTCTTTCACAATAAAAACTGAGAGAATTTTTAAAGGGAAAGATGAAGCAGTTCTAGTTATGTTTAGTATTTCCTTTGCCATAAAATGTTTTATTTCTCTAGAAAGAGAACATGAGTTATTTGTAAATTAATAACTTAAAATTATTTTGACACCTGTGTATCTTGGGTATTATATATGGAAAATGGCATCATAATTACTAGCTGTAATTAAAAATGGATAATGATTGATAACTGGTTGATATTTTTGTGGGCTTAGTGATGTTAACAGTGAATAATGAATTATATTCTGGTTTTCCATAATACTATATTTAATCTCCTTCAGCTCTAGTCAGTAAACAAAATAGATTCAGACAAGTGTTACTCCTAATACTACCATTTTATGGAAATTAAAAATATATTAAACTGCCATCAAAAAATAAATTAGGAATAAGATGAATGACTAAGTATGAATTATGTGGAAAATGTATATGTTCAATAAACTAAAATTATGTTATATGACAGTAATGTCTTCTGTGTAACCTTGATTATATCACTTTAAAAAAAATCATTTAAAAGGAAACAAAGTAAATCTAATGAAATTTTGTTTATAATGCACATATCTAGGCCTAATGAGTCATGATTGTTTTCTTCATCAACTGTTTTTTCCCCCCCATGTTCACAACTTGATCTTAGATCTGAGTTTCCTGAAGTACTGTATCTGCATTGTTTCTAAGGATTCTGTCAAAGGACTGGGATAATCTTGAGTCTACTTGGTTGATTTAAAATTTGATTTTCTTCTTTTTATTAACTTGTATTTCCCTCTGTATGTGCTGAGAGGCTAAATATACACACACAGGCATTCATATGTATTGAAAATACATTAATTGGCAAGGGTTATTCTTGCAAAGATAAAATCCTAATCAATGACATGTTCATTTTTGGAAGTATGATTGATAGCTGTGAAAAATGTTTTTTGTTTAAATTTAAAGCCACATACATTTCCCCTCTCTCCCTCAATTTATCATCTAGCAATCAACACCTTCAAGTTTCATAGAAAGTCAAGTGCGAGGAAACCCTTGCTCTGTTTGTTATAACTTGAAGTCTGTTCTAGTAAGCCAAAGAAGTAGTGATTAATAACAATATTTTTAGCCATTAACAAGAATATTTAAGCCAACTCTATTCTTTAAGCCTAACTAGTAATGGATACAGTCCTACATCTGGACTTATAATTTCCTATAATGTATTGTTTTTAGTTTTGTTTTTTTTTTTTTTAAAAAAAAAAAAAGAGAAAAAGGCAGTTGAATATGTTCTTCCTCTGTGAATCAGATTACTCCCACTATAGGGTTAGCTGAGTTGCTTGCTCACAGGCACAGGCTGCCAGATAAACAGAGAGCACTTCCTAGCATATATAGTGCTGTTACTCCTGCAAATTTTAGTACTCTCATCTGCAGAGATGGTCTAACAATTGAAATTGGAATTGCAGTGTATTTAAGAACTTACACGAAGTTCATTTTTTTCAGGACCTGTTTGCCTTGGATGTGGAGCCCTATCGATACAGTGGCGTTAATATGACTGGATTCAGAATCCTGAACACGGAAAACACCCAGGTGTCATCTATCATTGAAAAGTGGTCTATGGAGAGATTGCAAGCACCTCCTAAGCCTGATTCAGGTTTGCTGGATGGATTCATGACGGTATGAATATCAGTGTTTAGTTCCCTTTTTTGGTATATGTTTGTGAAGCTAAAAAAAAACTTTTAACATTTATTTCTGTTACTAAAATTGTTTAGAGGTATGAGACCAAATATTATTGTAGATGTGAGTCAGAGAGTAACTGCAGTGTGTCTGTTAATATTCTGTAGGCTTAATACATGCCATGTTAACTTTTTTCAATATTACATGTGTTGTATTTTTTTTCAAATTATAATGTCACATTATAAATGTCTAATTAATTTAGTCCATATTGCCCTATTTTGTTGGTGAAAATATTTTATGGGATCATGTCAAATCCCAGCAAAAATCAAGCTAAAACACAATTGTGCCTTTTTCTGTGTTTTGTGTCTTACTCATTTAAGATTCATTAATTAATAATGAATAATGTGTACTGTTTAATTTCTACATAATTATTTTTGTTCTATTTTATGGATACTATAAATAATACTTTTCTTTATAACTTTTCCAGTTTCTATACCTTCACATAACTAATTAGACTGGTTTGTTGGTGTGTTTTTTTCTTTCCATTGCCATTTTTCTCTGGCCTCACTTCAGTCCATGAAAATTGCCATTACATTCATGCAAATAAGCTTTTATTACTAGGTTTTCAGTGAGTTTCTACTCATCAGCTGGAATTAAATCTACAAATATAATGTCCAGAAGGGATTTATTTTAAAACATATCCTACATTAGGACCTCTTTAGCTTTCAAATTTGTTGAAAGATCTAATTTTCCGCTTTGGCCCAGGGTTCCACTACTCCTTAGTTGTGGTTTTTTTTTTTTTTTTTAAAGCCATTTCATATTCCGTTTGAAAATTAGCAAATTCTGTTTCTTGAAGATTAATATCTTCATTATCTATCAGTTATCTAGATGGTGTTAATCTTAATATAGCACTTAACATAGCTGATCTTTTGAACAATTTTTTTCTACTGATAAGATTTAAAGATTTTGTAGACATTAAATGCTAAACAGTCTGTATTTAGAAAGGTTAATTTCCATTTTGTCTTATTTTTAGAAAATTACCCTTCTTAAACAAAAATACTTTTTTTTTTTTTTTTTAATCTACTTGTTGTAAATAGTATCTTGAACATAACTGGAAATTTATTTACTACTTCTATTGCGTTGCAGTTTTAAAATACTATATGATGGGATCTGTAAAGATACATTGTTCATTTCTCTAAGTAATTCCAAATAAGCAAATGAATGCCCCCCAAATTCTAGAAATGTGTGAAATATACTGGTTTACATATAGCTGCTGCTTATTATTGTAAATCATTGTGTCATGCTTCCTTGTTTACATTAATATTTTCATTCTTTGATTTTTGCCTTTCTCAATTTAAAATTTGTAGCAGTTCGTCTCATTCATTGTAGTTGTGTATTTTATGCACCGATTGAAGATATAGTTGATTTCAAATCTTTGGATAGTTACCAAGGTCAGTAGAAATAGTTACTTTATCAGAACATAGTGCCACAGCCAATAAAATCATAGAATAATAAATATTGGAACAGAGTTCTGTGGGCCAGTCACATGTTCTCATCTTCTGTTGTTCTATAAAGAAAGTGCCATTCTCAGAAAAGCTTCTGGTGTGAGGCAGAAACCCATTATTGCTAGTATATGATTGTGTAAGACCATACTTTACACCGTTACTTTGCCTAAGGATAGAAAAAGAACTACATGAAAAACACTGGTTTCTCTTCTGGACCTTTAAGAGCCCTCTTTGTCAATCTAAGTGGAATCAAATATGCAATATTTTATGGGGATTCTTTACGTTGATTAAACATCTAAATGCGCTTTGATTACCTAGGGTTTAGATATCTGGGATATGCGGATGGAATTTAAAGGATGTTTAAAGGCCTAATAATGCTGACAAGTGTTAGGTGCCTTTAGATACAGAAAAACATCCACAGGATGTCAATTTTCCAAGAAAAGTCTTTAGAAAGTGCAAAAGAAAGTTATGTCATGACATCATTGCACAAAGTTCTTCCTGTGCTTGGAATAAAATAAGTCATTTCATTGACATATTATCAACAAAGTTGTTGAGTTTGTAAAATTTCACTTCTATTTCTTGTTGTTCCTCTGTATTTAGAGTCAGAAATGCACTCAGGAATCAAAGATTCTACAAAAGTATTAATTGCTGTTACAGAACACTCTAACTGATATGGGCTGAACTGGGAATTTGTTTTATTTTCACTGGTTGATAATGACTACAGCTTATTCAGAAAAATATTAGCAATAAGTCTGCTTACTGGGAGCTCATTCAGCCACATAGCTAAAAGCCAGGTATTCAAATACCTGAAATGTGAGAATTTGCCAAATAAAAACCCGACGTTTGTCTGTCTCTAAGCATTTAGACGTCTCAGTGAAGACGAACTGGTTTCTAATGCTGTAGAACCATGCAGTTATGGATCGCAAAGTTTGTAAGTTCTGGTGGTGTTTGTGTTATGTCCTTCTTCCTCTGACTTTTCCACCATATGTAAATCAACTTAGTCATCACGGCAAAGTTAGAACTATCAATTTGACTCTGACTTGGATTTCCTTATTTATAGTTCAGATTCCCAGTCTTAATTCTTGTTTTGTTTTCTGTAGGCTTGTATAACTCTCTAATTAGTATGTAATTTTCCTCAAAATTATCTGACCTTTACTATCCCAGTATGACAAAAAGTAGGTATAAAATTTCATCTCGTCTCTTTATAATGTTCCAAGTCAAATTTCCCAGTGTGGATCCTATTGACTTCAATTAGAATAGTTTCTAAGCTGCTCCTCAAGAGAGCTCTGGAAAGGGTGATGCTTTAGAACACCCGAGATTAGTGGTAAAAAACAAATTTTCCATCACATTTCACTCTCCTTTTAGGGTTTCTAAAGATTCTTTGTACAAGCTTTAGAAAAACGTATTTAAACTATTTAATGAATGTTACCATATTTAATGATTCTATTATTTAATTAATGTTGACTTATTTGTATAATTGTTGCGGTTTAACCTCAGCTGGCAACTAAGCACCACACACCCACTCACACACACCCACTCACTCATCCCCACCTCTGACATCTGCAGAATATTTTTTCCATGCACATTTCTGTCCCAAATACGAAGCTATATGAACAGCTTTCAAATCAAAACAGCCTGAATAGCATCCTTGAAAGTTTTGAGGTTTGCTCCAAGATAATTATTTGGAGTTATATGTCACCAAAATAAATGTGGGTGGGGTTTTTTTTTTGTGTACAAAATTTATGAGGAATTTGGGAATACAGACCTGGGGTTCTGTTGAGGAAATCTGCCTTGAAAGTATTTCAGTTTTGCAGATTGCAATACAGATTGAAAGTGTATCGTCTGAGTCTTGTGTTACAATGTTACAAAACAACTTCTAACTAGATTGAGGCTCTTTAAACAATTCTGTGATATATGATATATTAATTACTGTTATTTTTCACTAACTTTATACTAAATTTGCTTCACTTAAGCAAAATGACTTGTCATTTACAGAACCATGCTATTTTTCAACCAGAATAAGATTTTTTTTTCTTGAAAAATGAATTTATTATGTAAGTTAAAAAACAAAACAAACCAACAAAAGAGAATGAAAGGAAAACATCTAATATATGTAACTTTGGCTTTTATTTGTACAAAGTGTAGATTTGCAAGGGTTAATCCTGATTTTTCCTGGAGCAAAAAAATTGAATTTTGGATTTTCCAGTAAGATGGAAAAACTACTTAATTATGATGACTGAATGGTTTTGTTAAATTCTAACAGCATTGTTATCTGTACTATATTAATGGAAAGATATTCTGGAAAACAGAGAAGTAACGAACTATTTTCAAGAAACTTCAGCATACTTTTGAGTCTGTACATGTAGCGTACAGGACGAGAAAAGAAAACAACAAACAAAACCCTGAGCATAAATGAACTCCTACATTTATACATGACAAATGTGATTCAGGCCAAGCAAAGTTGAACATGAATAAAGTGTTATGAGTTCAGAATTCTTTTACTCTACAACTATTAATCTTCCACAGTTTTCTGTGCCTCAAGTCAGAACTTAGCATGCATAATTAAGATGACCTAACAAGCTCTGCTGCTTCGTTGATGTAAAGTTTTCCTTACTAATTGCTTTTGCCTATCATCTGATTTTGCTATCTGCTTTCATCTTATGTAGAAAAGAGCGTGCTTTTTTCTATTCTGACTCTCAATTCTATTCTTTAATATTCACCTTAGTAGCTGTATATGGTGGGCACAGGGAAGAGCTGTGGTACTTGATGAATGCTATAGCTAAGCTCAATATTAAAACGTTTCTTCAGAAAAAATCATAGTTTGGGACTTATACCTTTTGTAGACTGCATAGCAGAATGGAGCATTACTTAGTTGTGAGCTTTCTTTTTCCATCCTTAATTATCTTTTTAATTTCTTACCTTTTTTTTTTAAAAAAAAATAATTCTCCTTTCTTTTCTAGACATAGTGTGCTTTTCAAGCTTAGGTGCTGTCCACCATGAAACAACATTTCTCATGAAAACTAGTTGTAATAAAAATTTGGAGTGATATTAAATACTGAGGGCAAAAATGTAGAGAATTGTTGCACACCCAGGTTATGGGTTGCTTATGGTTCATTTCTTTGTATGGGATTTTTTTCTGATTCAGAAAAGGAGACATGAGATTTTATGAATAAGGATTTGAAATTTTTAAAAGTTTATGAAGAGACTTCCTCAGATAAGGAGAATAGATCCAAGGATATTTTCTTTAAATATATAATTGTAAAGAAGATGCAAATATCACCGGGAAATATGCTAATGTCTTCATACATTATCATTAATCAAATGAATATTGACTCCACAGAACTGTCTAGGAAATTCATTTTGACACAAGCCATTTTGAGGAACAGTAAAAAAGTTGTTGTTTAATTGTTTTGGAATTTGAGAATGGAAATGAAATGTTGGATTCATAAATGTGCAGGTATTTTCCCCTAATTAATTCTACATATTTGCACTCCC